TGTATGTTTGAAGGAATCTGAACAGCTAGATGGAAGTACATGACACCAAGCTGGGGGCACTCGGCTTATGCTGGTGCATACTAGATCTACTGCCTTGGCAGCAAGTTCCTACTTACATAGTACTGTACTGGCTAACTACAAACCTCTCTCTCTATCTCTCTCTTTCTCTCTCTCTCTCTATCTCTCTCTCTCTCTCTCTTTCCAGGTGCAAATGCTATGCTAGTGAATGATGCATGTGCTTGCATTTACGGACTGTATTTGTGTGTGTGTGTGTGCACGCGTTCGTGCGTGTGTTTCAGTGTCAAAGGAATATGACAGCTTCTCAGCTGTGTCTCGCAAGGCGCCTCTGACATATCCTCATGGGACACGAGCGTGCTGTGTTTGCATTTTTAAGGCATGGCGTGATTACTCCTTTGACAGAGTCATTGTGACAATAAAGCACACATGTCCGAAATGTGTCCACTGTTTTTTCTTCTTCCTGTCTATAATAGGTTGTTATTTGTGCCAGCCTTGTTTCAAACTCAATACACAGCATTTACAGAGCTGACATGCATGCATTAGGAGACTCAGCACGAAATGCATGCGTTCGGACTCAGGGGAATCACCTACATCTACAAGTACACGTGTCATCCTCATCATTATCATCATCTCTGCTGCATTTGCTTCCTTGACTGTGTCTGTGCCTCCACTCTTGTCATCGTCATCATAGCATTCTTTGCTATGTGGTCGGTGATCGGAATGTGTGGCTATCATACGATGCTGGTCGGTAATGCCAAAACTACCAATGAGGAGGTGAGTAGTAGTGACTTTCTTCACGGGTGTCTTAGCAGGATTGTGGAGGAACGTGTGCTTCCGGTCATTTTTACACGACCATTGCCAGGCCAGCCAGATGGCGGGAACCGCTGGCTCTACAATGTTCTAAATTGTCACGAGTCTTGGGTGTTATGTAAAGAGAACGGACCTATATAAGCAAGAGTACATAACCCCCCAGAGTGTGCAACGCCTGATCCAGCTCTGCATAGGGTCTTGGTCGAGCGTAATCGGATCTTTGCGTCATAATACCGTACACATCTGAGGGGAACCCGGGGAGTCGCGGGTACTCTCGGATCAAAAACAATGGTGCCCTGCCTCGAGACCGGCCTTGCGCTGGTGTGGAGTGTACGCATGACATCAGAAGATCCGATTCCGCTCGACCAAGACCCTATGCATAGCTGGATCAGCGTTGCACACTCTGGGGGGTTATGTACTCTTGATATAAGTTAGGAGTTATGGCTAACAGTACACCTAGGTAACGAGATACTGTAAACCGCCCAATATTCGCATCACTAAATTTTTCGCGATTTCTTGGAACCAGCGAATTTGCGATGGCAAAGGTTCGCGAAGCATTGCGGCCACTTACATACACCCACTGTTGAAGTTAGATTTCACGCTGGTAAGTATTCGCGTTACGCTCTTCTCGCGAAAATAGCGAACATTGATCCGTCGCGAATATTAGGCAGTTTACAGTACTAGTACACTCAGATAGTGCGACAACAAGGCACACAACTGACAGGCATATTGAGATATTCGACGACCTGACACCTTTTGGAGCTCCAACACATCTACGAAGAGCAAACCAACAACCTTCCAACTTGGAAGGCTCTCTTTTCATAATACCAAGAGTACATAACCACGTTATGTACTCTTGATAATACTGTTGGCTCAACATCCGAGTCTTGGGTGTTCTTGGCTTTCCATGCCGTTCCGCCATGGCTTCTGCCGGTTCTGTTCTGGTTTTCTTGGCCATTACTACAGATCAAGGTGACGTATGGATCTAATGCTCGGCAATCCACGAAAAACCCGTATCACCAAGGCAGTGCATGGGAGAATTTGAAGTACACGTTATGTGCACCACTGCCAAGAAGGTATGACGATAATGCGCCAAGACTATCTCTTTCATCATTTCCATGTTTTCTGGGGCGGGCTGATTTCAGTTTTAAACTTTTAAATTAATACTTCATTTGCCGGACTGGTGTGAGACTACATGTATGTACGTGGACTTGAAGTATTTAGAACCATGCTGACCAGAATCATAATGACTATTAGGTAGTGTGTGTGTGTGTGTGTGTGTGTGCATGTGTGTGTGTATGTGTACATGTGCATATGTGTGTCTGCAATGTGCATGCTACCTGATTCTCTGTGTGTAGTTTATTGGACAGACGGGGACAGCTCACCGACGACGAGTATTACGCTATACGTGATGAGGTAGGGTGAAACGGTTCACTTGTCTTGCTTTTATTTTTTTGCTTTTGCTTTTCGTCTCGTCTTTTGTAAAGTTGATGTATGTACTGAAGTACTTGAAGTACCAGGGTGTACGTGTGCGTACTGGTTGCTTGACATGATTGGATCTGTAGGCCGGTCATATACTATACTGTAGTGTGTGCACTGAGTCTGTTCATCCTTGCATGTTTGCCAGCTGACACTGCACAGTGCACAGTGCACTATGGGTAACACCGTAACAGTGTGTGCTGTCATGCCTCCTATTCATATTCATCAGATTGGGTAACAGTGTGTACTGTCATGCCTCATATTCATATTCATCAGATTGGGTAACAGTGTGTGCTGTCATGCCTCATATTCATATTCATCAGATTACTGTAAGCTAGTGGCACTCGCTCCCTGTTCTCTCCTGACGTATTCAGATTTCAGAATGTCCTTTTCATTGTTTCTCCTTGTGCTTGCTCTCCATCCCACTGACTCTGCATGATTGTGTTCATGCTGCAGACGATAAACTCTGCGTCCAGTGCAGCGCGCAATCTGATGGGAACCACGCTGCCGTCGTCATCCTCACCCAGCTCTTCACTGTCCGTCACGCGTGTAGCAAACACCGCGCCACTCAGGCAAACTGACCCGGCCGAAGGTGACCGCCTGATGACGGCAGAGTGATCACCCGTGTGCTGCACCGCCGCCGCCGCACTGCACCACCGCCTCGCCATGTCCTTTCTCTCACTGGAAAACCGTGTTTGAACGTATGCTCTATAGGCTCTCGTAGTAGTTTCACTCGTAGTAGTTTCATGTGTTTATTTTTGTTTTGTTTTTACGCTGGTGTGCTGGTCATGTCACCGCTGCTCTAATTTCGTCATATCCACTCATGCCCATGAAAACTTCCACTTAGTACATTGTGCTGGATGCGATACGCATCGCTGCCAACGACCGCAATATTCTGGACCGCTCTTGCGCCGTTTCTTACATTAGTTTCTTATTTGCAAACCTTGGGAGGCTGGTTCCTCTCTGCCCAGACCTCACTCAATACCATGCCAGCTGTGTGTGTGTGCACGTGTGTGTGTGTTCTCTGCACCACCTGCTGCTGGCACGTCTGTCTTGCTTGTTCTAGGATCTTGCCAGTCAACATGCAGGACATGACCGGGTGTAACAGTATGTCTCTGTATACACGTAGATGCAGACTGTTTCAACTGCCGCACATTGCACCGCAGCCGCACTAGACATCTAGACATCTTCATTATTTTCTGCGTGCTACTATCGTCATTCTGCAGTGTGAGAACAGTCACGCCGCGGCCATGCAAGCAGCCCCCATTGTTGCGATACTCATTAATGTAACCCCCCCCCCCCCCCCCCCATATTCAACGCTTCATGCCGTCATTGGCAAGAGAAGCAGAACGCCGCCACATACTTTTCCAGGCAAAAGGGAGCTTCAACAACCAAACACAAGCATAACACTTGCTGTACAGCAGGATTCATATATTTTTTTATTCTACTTCCATTTCGTTCTGTTTGTTTCGTTCACTCGGGTCTTGACGTTGATCTCAGCTTTAAAGTATGTCGACATCTCCGCGGAGAGAAGGTCAAACAGTGATTCTTGCTTGTCCGTCAGCCAGCGGTTGTTTCTGAATAAGTTGAATCGCTTTGGGCCGCTGCAGGTACAGGGTTCCAGAAATGCATGCAGCAGCATCAGCAGGAAAACATCACAATAAGGTTAGGCCATTAAACATACAGTGATGCGGAAATCAAAACTGCACTACATGTACGAAAACGATGCAAAAATCAAAAATTGCACCTGAAAAGTTGCCCATTTCTTTATTCTCAAAATCACTTTCTGTGATGCGACGTGCAACACCAAGAGTACATACCCCCCCAACAGTGTGCAACCCCACATACCCTGCTGTCCCGACAGAATTTCAAGTTAACGTCATTATTTATGATGCAATGCTCCTTTCACCAGTGATTTACAGCATGTGTACGGGTGTCAACGCGTTTTCTTTGCAATAATATGAAAAGGACCAGATGGGTTTTGGTCCACCACAGGTTCTGGATTCGTCTGATAATCCGTGTACAGTGCGCATTGCATCATAAAAATGACGTCAACTTGAAATTCTGTCGGGGCAGCACCCATAGTTGAGTTGCACACTCTTAGGGGGGGGGGGGGGGGTAATGTACTCTTGGGAACACTTGAGATAGGAAAATGCCTCTGAGTCGAATGGTCGTGGTCCGAGGAAGCTGAGACACTCCCTTCCTACTTGAATCCCAATCGAACTCGCGCACTTCCACCGAAACTGGGTGACTGCGCCCTACTAGATAGGGATTTGTATGCAAAATGTCACTAAAAGCGCCATTTCGTTCTTATAAAAGCACGGATGACCGCGATTGGCCCATATGTTGTAGTCTTTTGGACGCTGAGTCGATTGGTTTTGGTCCGAGAAAGCTGCGATGCAGCGTTCCTCCTATATTTCCAATCGAACATGGTTGAACAAGCGGTCACGTGCTCCTGCGTGCCCAAGTCACCTGGTCACAGCGCCAGCAGGCGACAACTTTCACATCAAGGTTCAACTCGAGTGACAGGACTGCACCCAAAAAAGGTCAAACAGGCTAGTAAGTTGTACCCTGCAGGCACGGTGACCAGGTGACTGGTGACGCAGGAGCACGTGACCGCTTGTTCAAGCATGTTCGATTGGGAATAAGGGCCGAACGCTGCATCGCAGCCTTTTCGGACCAAAACCAGTCGACTCAGCGGCCAAAAGACTACAACATATGGGCCAATCGCGGTCATCTGTGCTTTTATAAGAACAAAATGGCGCTTTTAGTGACATTTTGCATACAAATCCCCATCTAGTAAGGCGCAGTCACCCAGTTTCGGTGGAAGCGCGCGAGTTCGATTGGGATTCAAGTAGGAAGGGAGCGTCTCAGCTTCCTCGGACCACGACCATTCGACTCAGCACCCCGAAGACTACAACTGGTGAAATTTTGATTTTTGCCTTAACTTCCCCTTTAAGACCACTGACGTAGAAGCTGACGAAATTTCTTTTGCGACATGCGACACATGACACCCATCACTGGAGCACAGGTTTCTACGCTGGGTACGCGTGCAAGCACTATACACGCCATTCAGATGCCACAGAAACCATAAAGATTGTGAATCGTGTGTCGCAATCGTAGCTCATCACAGTTGTCGCATGAAAAACAATAAGCAATCATACATGGTTCCCAGCAAGACATTGTATACTACTTGAAGTAAGAAACACACACACAAAGCTCATGCACCACACACTCACGTGAAAGGAGACGAAATCCAGATTTGCTGATTAGGTGCTTGCTTGTTTAGGACGTACGTGTTTGCAGAGTCTGGAGGATGATGAGATAACGGGCAGAAAGTAAACTTTTTAGCATACAAACTGGTGAGTGCCAGTGTGCCAATGCAATAGTAAGGTCCCCCCTCCCTCTCTTTCTCTCTCTCTCTCTCTCTCTCTCTCTTTTAGGGAGCATCTCATAAGTTCGTACTTTTGCAGCAAATGTAACGCATTTCGAATAGACTTTACCCCCCTACCTCCCCTCCCCCCTCTATTCGAAAGTCTTATCGCACATTTTCCATGTGGATCTGTGCATGTCTTGCATGCCATGGTATGCACATGTACATGGACATGAATGTCAAAGCGAATGGCATACAGTACTTAGTCAGTAGTAGTACCGCATCTACTGAGTACAAGTACAATGAATGACATGTACACCATAGTACATGCATATACAGAGTTCCTCCACAACTACTGTGTACTGTAAAAGCTGGCCGGTGGGATAACATCAGGACTGGAGTTTCACCTGACATTGAATACAAGGAAAACCTTAGTATGAACAAGACCAATTTTGACAAATTGTGCAACAAGCTGCGTCCCTACATCGTGAAGCAAGATACCAATATGCAGACTTCCATTGCCGTGGAGATGCAAGTAAAGTATTAGTTGCTGTGCTCTTATACGAGGTGATTCGCAATTTTTGGACATGTCGCAATTTTTGGACAAATCAGTTAAATATGGAAGTAGAGTCCTCCTGAGTCGTTGTCCTTTCCTTGGTGGACAAATCTTTGACAAGAGTGTCTTCGTGTGGTCCTCAAGTTTCTTCGTGCCAATTTTTAGCGGTGAAGGCCGTTTCTTTCTGGGCGTTTTCTTTATTATTCTTAGGTAATGTAATGAGTAATTTTGAAATTTTCGATTAAATAATACATGATTGAGGATTCCGTTGACTCTACGTCGCATAACGGAGAGAATGTCGACATGGGGGATGTTGTATCCCTTCCATCAACTCCAGGGACTACGTCTTCCAGCTCGAATCCGCCTGGAAGAGTCTCCTCGCCTTCTCAACCGGTGCGTTTGTGGAGGGGTTCTGGTCAGGAGAAATCTCTTTTAGCAGTGCGAGCGTTCCACTCACCTGGCACCAGTGAACACTTCCTAGCCAAGAAGGACGCAGCGGCTAGTTACGGCGCTAGCCCTCCACTCTTTGCGAAATATGAGAAGGAGATGGGCCACACTGGAGTGCTCTCCTCTGTTCTTGAATATGACGTCCATGAAAACCCTTGAGTGACCCTTTAAATTGTGTGTCACATTGAAAAGCCTTGAAAAGCTTGCTATGAACGGCCTGTCATTAGAACTCATATCAGCCGGTCTCATAGGCATAGCCTTACCCCATTTTCATGTCCTGTGCAAGTTTTACTTGTTCACACCATTGCAGACTGCTGCTAGATGCTATTTAATTTAGTTGTCCAATAATTGCTCGCATTGAAAAAGCAGTAGAAAAAGACACCTTCGATCAGGTCAAGTTGTGGCCGCATGCTTCAACTCTATGCCTTCAGGTGTGTGTGGTGGTGGTAAAGCATAAGTGTGCCAGTAGAAAAGCAAGAAAGAAATTTAATTTATCTTACAAACCAACATAATGGGGTGCTATTTAATTTGAGTGTCCAAAAATAGCAAATGACCTCGTACCATGTGATCGATGAAGGCCGCCGGGGGAAAAACTGCCAACGCCTTCGGTATATCAAGAGCTTCAGTGAGCATCGAAGTCCGTCAAGTATCGAAGGCAATCACACTTTCGACCGCTTCAAGGCACGGTTTGGCATGTTTCGGTGAGCAATGGATATCAACATGGAAGACTTGCCGTTCGTCATCTATGCCTGCTTTGTCTTGCACAACTATTGTGAGATCAACGGTGAGAGTGTCAGAGAAGAGCAAGTGCAGTGTGCATTGCAGTATGATCAACACTACCAACCATTGAAGGAGCCTCCGAGGGAGAGCAACAATGCAGAAGGAAAGAAAGTTAGACGCATCTTGACCCGCTACTTTGATCCGTGATTTGTGGAACTCCTTCATTGTGGCAATGGCTAGTTCTTGGCTATAACCCTTGTTTTGTTTGTTGTCACCACTGTGGCAGTACTGCTATGTATTCCCTGTATATGAATCAACCATAAGTAGAGCTGCAGCGAAGCCTTGAACTTCATTTTCCCGAGTCAAGCTCTGTTTGAAGACATCCAGGAAGAAGATTGCCTGATGAGTCCAGCGGGGACGAAACGTACACCGTAATCGAGCTATGTCGTTGCTGTGTCAGCTGCCATGCGCTATCTGATGCTCCTTGTAGTTTTTATTTTGAGGTCAGAACACAACATCCCAATCACAGTCTCGTCATTGCAAATAAGCGCTACAAGGTAACAAGGTGTATTATTAATAATTTTATTCCTTTCTATTTGTTCTGTTTCTTCTTTTGCACTCAGTTATTTTGCTTCATGTTTGCTCACTGGAATTCAGTGTTAGTTGTGGAGCATACTGTACTTGTTTCTGGATCCTCGTATGTCTCATTTGCTGTGCATCCTTCCTTATCTCATGGATTCTGCAATCTTGCAGCTAAGATATGCCATCAAAAGGTTCTAAGATACCAACTTGTTACTGGTGTCAAGACCAGGAAGTAGTACAATACGATATTGTACAGTTGCGGTTGGTGAAATCAGACCCAAAGTACATACTGTAAAAGCAGAAATTTTCGGTGGTGTAATATTTTCGGTATTCTCCAAAATCGGCGGTTCGGTAGAGGGAAATTTCCGGTAAAACCCGTTTTCCAGGTAATTGTGCTAGTACTACAAGTATACGAGGTGAATTTCTATTTCTGGACATTGTACATTTCTGGACATTTCGAGTAAAATAATTTTTCGTCGCGTGTAGAGTCAAGTCAGTCAGGTTGATGAAGTTTTTTCTTGCCGTAGTTGACAGCTGGGCTGTTGTAGTTTCTCCTCGTGTCGGTGCCTTGTTGATAGCCTTTTCTTGTGAGGCATTTCAACGAGTTTTGTGGTACTATGTCGCATGATAATTTTGAATTTTGAGTAAAATAAGAAGTAATGGACGAGTCGTTGGCTTCCCCATGTGCACTCCACTTCAGACGCTGTATAGTCTTGAACCTGTTGGCTGGAAGTGTGAAGAGGCCAACTGCAGTCCACCAATAGAAAAAATAACAAAAATGGTGCAGTATAGGATGCCTATTGATGCTATTTTACTTTCATGTCCAGAATTCCATACACTGAAATTTAGGCCAAAAAATGGCCTGTCGAAAACATCCTGCTATAAAGTCTCTGGGATCACAGCATGAGCAATTGTCACATATTTGAAAAGATGAAGGATTAGGCCATACAATAGATACAAAAAGATATGAAAAATGTAAAACACACAGCCAGTGGGGCTCTATTTTATTTTCATGTCCAGAAATTGCTATTCACCTCGTACAGTACAGGTTGTACCGAAATTCTCGGTGCGTTTTATTTTCAGTTAAAAAATTGTCAGCACCGAAGTTACCAAAAGTAAAACACCACCGAAAATTTCTGCTTTTACAGTATTTCCGGCCCTCAAGTTGCACAGCCCTTGACGCCCTGGCAGAAGTAGGAATACGGCTGGCAGTACACATGTACACATACAGTGATGTAATCAGAACTGCCACAGGGCACCAGTTTTGCTCTTTGGGTCGGAATTCACCGAGCGCAACTAGCTGTACCACTCCATGGTATTGTGCTTCTCCCTGGTCAAGACCTAAGGGTACGACGTCAGGGGGCCCACGGTTTGCTAGTGTGATAGTTCCCGCGCTGGCCCTTCGAGCTTGATTGTGATCGGTGTTCACACGACAACACTGCTCACATGACACACTCTCGCGGATTCTTCGCGTCCATGTAGACGCACGAAAACGGAATGGCGCCTTTGAAGAAATACGGGATTGAAAACGGAAAACTGGCCGGGCATTGTCGTGTAAATGCGGCCTTATTATCAGTACTGCAAGTGGATGTTTAGCTGTGGTAGCAATGACAGAACATCAACCTACCCAATTCAATTGTCAGCACGCCACCCTGCATTGAGAAGAGAATGCACATGTACACACAGCACACAGCACACAGTACACAATGATATTAGACCTGTTAGGTAAAGTACCGCTGCCCAAGAATCAAAAACTTGGTACAACATAATTTTACACAGACTTTGCACCCTGGCAATCGATACAATCCATACCTATGCTCACTAAAACAGGAAATGGTTTTAAAATGAGCATCGGCGCTTCTCCAATGCAGCTTCTGGTGCACATGCACACCAGTAGCCCAAACATGCAACTGCTGACAGGGAAAATCCACAAAGCCTCCCCCCCCCCCCCCCCCCCAAAAAGCCCGTACGTCATCAGACTTACCCCACATTGTACATCATATCCGTCGGGAACATTCACACCTGGCTCCTCGGGCAAGTTCTCAAACACCTCCGACAATGTCTCCAATGTCTCGTCCGCATACATGTGAAATTCTCGAACTCTATACACAGCATACACAATGGTGAGATGCAAAACGCAGCAATATAAATTTAACGATAAACGGCCGGCCAGTAACTCTGAGCTCCGCTGATGAGACCTAACAAGTTCGAAACAGCTAGCTGTCCGGAGCATTGAGCAATACGCTCCCCTTCCCCTCAGCTTAGTTGAGCACTCTTTCTGGTTGGTGTCAAAGTTATCTACCTTGGTGCAAAGCTTGCCAGGTACCTCGCAGTTAGAGCACTCTTACATTCATCCTATGAGCTCATTCTAGTGAATAACAAAGCTTCTTTTTTTTATTAAATATTTTCATTGGTTTTCTATTCTATTTATTGCGCCTTTCCGACAAGTAATCATTGTGTCGTATTTTAAAATATTGATTCAATAAAGATGACTTTATATCTAAAGTTTCTAAACCTTTTTGCGCTCTGATCGTGTGTATGGCGAGGAGTGGAGGCTGGGACCAAAACACGTAGGGTAGTCGCATATCTTCAGGTTTTTGTTGTTGAGAACCTGGCGGCATGTATAAGCCTACTACACGCAGCGCGAAGAAACTGGGCATATATCCAGAACCAACAAGTAGTGTTACTCACAAGAGAGCACACGGATCCTGGATATAAACATTCGGCAGTTGAAATTGATGTACTGTAGAACGGGTAATTTTAGCGACTATTAATTTTAGCGTTTTTCCATTGTCAACCGGTTAGGGGCCGTCCGTAAATATCGATGTTTTTTTAGAGACGATATTGGTGCTTCTCTCCCTTGACCCCCCCCCCCCTCCCCCCAGAAGACGCACATATCTAGATCATGGAATCAATATTTTTTTTAAATCCTTGTTCAGACAGTGAAGACTGGAAACTCTTGTGGAGTTCGTCCGTGTTTGTTCGCACTGCCTCTACGTCTTGAAAAAGGTCTCCTGCAGGCATCGTTCGGCCGATTTCCACAATCAATAGCTCATTCTTTTGCTCTTGAAATTCGCGCGGCATGGGCGTACAGCTTCCAATTTTTGATTTTGTTCTTGTGTCGCGAGTTTTAGCTCCGCAAACGGAAGCTGGTTTCACATTTCTTGTATAGCCATTTAGACGTCCGCGTGCAGGGATCGGCGAAACTTCAGATATTTACATCGATATTTTCTGATGCTCGAAAAGACGCACATGGCTCAAACCCCCTCCCCCCCCCCCCCCCCCCCAGACGCACCAATATCGTTTCTAAAAAAACATCGATATTTACGGACGGCCCCTTAGCGACGTTTTATTTTAGCGATTTGCAGCGATTTTACTCACGGATCACCAGTGCATTACCAATGTCGCAACGGATTAGCGACTTGAAACTTTAGCGAAAATGAGTCGATCGCTAAATTCGCTAGGGTTTTTACGTCGCTAAAATTACCCGTTCAACAGTACATGAGTAGGACCCTGGAGTCACGCTTGTTCAGCGGCATGAACGGGTATAGGTGTAAAACACACTTTACACGGCGTCATTACCGTATGCCCCCCCCCCCCCCCACGGCTGTTCACGTGCAGGCACTTATCAATATGGCGTCGTTCGGTGCGATTTATGTGACATTGTGCGAATAGTACAAATACGCGATGAGTTTGCGTTTTTGCAAGAAACTCATGTCGATCCTTGCGTGGTTCCACGATTTGGGACGCGAAACCAAGAGAAATGTTTTGAAAGCGCTCGAGCGAGATACTCGACTTTTCGGCAATTTGAGAGAGAAAGAGGGTGGAAAGGCGTCCTGGCCTGCCCAGTTAGCTGTCTTTCCGCTTCAAACTTGCTCGAAGTACTCCTGGCAGTCTGCAGATTGATCTCGCCAGTGATTGTCAGCCTCTGCTTGGCGTGCTCGCGTGTACAACATTAAAGTTAGACATTTCGTAATCGTTCAACGCACAATAGGGTAGATATCACAATTTCAAGCTCACTTGGCCGGCTGCTGTCTTCTTCTATAATATCCCACATGCCGACTAAGCAATTTACAGCAGGAAGCAGCCTTCTACACTCAACAGCAACTAAAGGGCCACACCATTTTGTCTTCCAAATCAAGAGAAAACAGGCTCCTGACTCGTCGCGCGTATTTAGAAGTTGACGCGCGTATTCTAATGACACTTGGGGAAGACAACCAGAGGATAGTCCTCTACCTGGGAAAAAATCGATCTAAGCTGGGAAAAAATCGGGAAGGGCTTCTCGGAGCCGAGTTTGTCAGCGACGACACAAGGAGTATTCCAGAACGAAGCCAAAGTCGCACGACACAGAACAAATGTTTCTTGAAGGAAAGGCAGTCATGTGAGG